ATTTGGCAAATACTCTTCATTTTCTCTCATTTCTCTCTCCGCATAGTGATATAGAGAAGGGATCGTGCGCTGTCGTTTCGCTCCTTTTGGTATAGGAAGTCCTTGTTCCAAATATTGTTTCACTCAACAAATATCAAGATACTCACTATACATGGCATTACTGTATAGACTTGAATAAGTTGATCAATTTCCATTCTCGAAAGGACGTGAGATTTTTAGATATATATATTTTTTAATGTTTAAATCATTGGAATACTAAACTCTTGGTATAGAACCATGATCTTGATATTGATAATACTATTTGATTAAACAATTACTCACGCTTTGCTACCTTGTCATCCGCTACAAGATCATAGCTACTACTCGCTTTAATATTAGTTAACCGTGTGTCCTCCTCTCCTGTGTGTGATTTTATAAGTGCATCAGATATTGACCGCACCTGCTTTTTGATTTCTGTTTGCAAATTGTAGTTGCACTATATTCTTTCTAATTCCTAAATACTGAACGATGTGTCTTTAACTGTGTATATTCTCTCTCTATCTATCTATCTCACATATACACACACACATATTTATACATAAAGATGGAAATATTGATAGATAACTTAATAGATGAACATATAGATCAATAGATGAATATATCAATACACAGTAGAAACAAAATACGAAAACTTCGAAGTACAAAGTTTTCGTAAAAGAAATTATTCTTCCTTATATCATATAAAAAAGGTCAATAGAAAAAAACCATTAAACTACTAGATTACGCAGTATTTGGTGGCCAAATACACAACCTCTCTGTGCGACATGCCAAAGAGACGTCGCGATGATGGTAATTGGAAAGGAAGAGGTGATGCTTGTTGAACATAACCACGTGCGCAGGCTAGTTAATGGTTTAATAGATCAACTAGGTTCTGGACTAATCTATTCTGTGACTCCTCGCCATTCTGTATATAGTAAAATAGCGCAATGATCACAATTGTTTATTATCATTGACTCGAATTCTAGAGCGTTGAGGGTTAGTTAGAATGGGAGCCGACAAGCCAAGCTCCAACAATTTTAGTCTGTTCCGGAAAGAAAAGGGAGCTGTCCGCTGCGTGACATTTATCGGAAAGAAATTTCTCGGAAACAGCCTCCCCCTCTCTCCCTGAGCACGGGCTAGTCGAATCAACAAGTTAAGGTGCAGAAAAGAAAATTCCTGATGGAATATTAGAAGTGGGGAGAGCCAGGAATATGGGTGGTGTTCTAGATGTAGAGTCTCCAAAATAAAGAGCTTTTATCAGGAATTTTAGTTGAATTATAAGTCTTGGGTGTATATTTCTGGGCAACACACACACACACACTGAACCGTTCTGCGTGAAAATCCCCTCACGGTGCTTGCGTGTCAATACTCCCGCCGCCCTGACAGTTGGGGATGGCAACCCCCGGCCATTCCTCGCAACACACGGCGTGAGGGGGTACGGGGTTGCCGAAGGGCGATCCCTAATTAAAATG